TTGAAGATACCTACATCGGATGATTGCGACCTAATGGTAGTAGAGCGCGTCCTTTATTTCCAACTGACTTTTGGAACGTTCATAACAGAACAAAAGCTTCATTAATGAGAACAAATAATTCATCTGACGCGTGGGATCGACGCATTGGTGAGTAACAGTTTCTTATTCTTTAATCTTTGATTGTCTGTTTTTCTCGGTGACTATTGCACTCTCTTGCATATAGGCTGTTTATTTCAATGTTCTCATCCAACATTATGGAAATTCATCGACAAATTACGTGATGAGGAAGATTCGGCCATTCGTACGAAAATTTTGCACGCCAACACTGGACAATCAATACAAAAAAAGAAGTATCAACATTTAGATCAACGTTTATTAAATTTAGTGTTAAATCCACATACAGATATAATTGATCAAATCAATAATCTAGCTCATAATATTTCCCTTAAATAAAATAAAAAGAAAATTTCGAAAGTGTATAGTAGTGTAATATTGCAGTTTATTAACAATAATTAATTATGTTCTTTAAAAACTGAAAGCTAAAAAAAAAGCTGTGATGACAGAACATCATCAGTTTGATTTTCTATCTCATTATGTATTACGTGCGCAAGTGTCCGTGCGTAACAACCTGGTGCGTAAGATTCCTGTGCGGAACATTCCTCGTGCGTAAGGTACCCGTGCGCATGATTCCGTGCGCAAGTTTCCTCGTGCGCATGAATCCGTGCGCAACATTGTCTGTGCGCATCGTTCCGGAACCCGAGAAAAAAATGGGCCGAACAAAACTACATGTGTAATTAGAAAATATTGTCTTTTTTTTAGTTGAAGGCTTTTTGATGGAATCGGCATCGGTCGTAATAGTCTAATTTTCACGATATTAAGAAACAATTCTATGTCCCATTTTGTAGAGAAACGTTTTGTCTGCTCATTTCAACTGCATCTCGAACAGAAAGCATCAGAGAATTTAGTCGTTATTTGAAAAAATTAAAAATAAATTGAACGCATCCTTGACTTATATTATTAGACGACAGAAATTGATTTATTCTCGACTGCGTCTGGGATAACAGAATAGCCAAGTTAATAAATGAAATAAACTTCATTTGCCGAAGATCTTCATTCTTCCTGTTAATAACATCTTCATGAAAGCTTTTCTAAACACAGTCCCACCACTGAGTGTATAAATATAGAATGGCATTCCATTAGCCAAAAAATTGAGCAGTAAAACAAAACTATAGACGAAATTGTCAATAGCAACTTGCAACTTGGATGAGACCCTATTGACGGTTATTGTTGCATACAATTTTTGGATGCCCAATGGAAGACCGAATATAATGAGAAGCATTACTTGTACGAGCAGCATACTGAGAAGATTGTAATCTGTCTTGCTCCACCGTCGTTGTTGGTATCCATTCGACGGTGGCCCGATGTTTACAAGTGATATAATTGCAGTTTGGATACGACCTCGAGATTGACGTATGTTGTAGATAGTCATGAAACCGAATAAGAGCATGAGCGACAAGGGAAGGAGAATGGTGAAAAACAGAAAAGACATGTCCGTCGCTAAGCGACATGTGACTGTTTTTCCATAGCATTGCAGTGGAGCGTCGAGAAGATTGGGCTCGTAGCAATAGATAATATGCGAAAAAAGAAGAGTAGATATAAGTAGAATAATAATCATGCCTCGTCGAGCATTTTTCAGTGTACTCATCTGCCGATGACGAGCATTAGTACTTGATGATAACCATCGATCGATACTAGCAAATAGGATAAGCCAAAACGCCACTGGTCTTGCAACATTAAGAACAAAGGCACGAAGCTTGCAGAGAAATCTGTCAGTGTTCGTTAGATCAGCAGCCCAGCCAGAAAACATTCGCGAAGTGAGACCAGAAAGGATGGTAATAAGATTGGCCGCCGATGAGACGAGAAAGAGTGTCGCACATGGATTTGAACGAAAACATCGACCAGACAAAATGAAAATATTAAGAATATTGCCCACAGTGCCGAAAAGAAAGATGAAAATTGAGAAGTAGCGATTGATTTGAGTCGAGATATTATTTATGAATGCGATGGAATTGGCATCAGATGATGACATTTTAGAGCGTAATAAATCTATAATAAAATTAACATGCACACTTTAAAGGGCGAATATGTGCTTTTACTTTTCTCATTTTTCAATTATCTTAGCCTGTTTCCAAAAATGATGTTATTTTCATGCGTCCTTACTAAACGGTTTAAATCATAATAGTTAGTTCAAACGTGTGCAAAGAAACGTGTAGACCTTGTTTCCAGAAAACACGCGATATTCGTTGCTTTTGCAACGACGGTAGAAGAGTAAATGATTTTGTTAGGACACGTGTCAGAGATTTTTCTTTCGTAATCTCTTATCTTTGACTGACAGCTACCCTAGCCAAAATTTGTATTAAAAAAA